CATGACCACTTACCCCTACGCCATCACTTTCTCCGTAGTGCTTGGTATTAATCTGTAGTTATTGTATTTGACCATTATCTCTGTCCATTGGAATATCATGTCCCTGAGAACCAAAACTTGAATCGTCTTCACTGCTGTCTTTTTGGTGCCTAGAAGAGTCCTTAGCACATGATTGTATGCAATTAACATTGGCTAAAACAAAAAAATGATGCTGGGGAATCAGCTCGGTGGTTCCATCACCTGCCGCTTGCAAGCACAAGGACCAGAGTTCAATCCCCAGTACCAAAAAAAAAGTTGAACAAGCAAACAATAAATGTGTTTCAAATATAAATGTATTCCAGATATCAGGCCCAGAACTCGAGGTGCTCTGACCAGTGCTGTGTCTCCCAAACAGTCGCTCATTGCCCAGTGATTTCTCAATGGCTTTTGATTTCATTAACTGTCTGGAGTCCCGTGGGCAGCCTTTGTTAAGTCAGAGATGTTGGCCGTGTTTGCCCCGCTGTGATTCTCCAGCTGGGGAGTGCTGCTCTGGTCGGTCCTGTTCATCTTGTAAAGTTCCCGAGTCACCAAGCCGACGTGTACTGGTATCTGCGTCCACATTTGTCAGTCAAGTGTTTATCTGATCATCACTAAAAAATGCATATTTATGAGTGCTTTAATGTTTGTAAAAAGTTTTTAATTGATGTCCATTTATTTGATCTTCCCAAGCTCCTTACTCCAAGGAGCAACGACAGGCATTTTACTGGTCAGGTCCCTGACACTGCAGAGAAATTAAATTTTGCTTGAAACCACACAACCAGTAAGAAATAGAGCTAATAAATGAACTCAACTCTGCCAAATTCAACTTCTAAATTCACGTCCTTGGCTTTGTAGCCATATCACAGCTATTCTCACACTATCTTCGAATAAAATTTTGTAGCTTACAAAGTACTTCCACAAAAACGATCTCATTTGATCCTCTTGACGACCCTTAGGTTTGGCAAGGTGAGTAAAATTCTTCCCTAAAAATAAAACCTGTGTGTCCCTTTAAGGAAAATGTCCACATGCACAATCAAAGCCGTTGTTACAGAGTAATACAAACACACAGAAAAGCACACAGATGCCGTGGACACTGCGTTACACGTGGCCAAAAGAGAATGGAATAAACTACAGAGGTGGAAATGTATAACAGGATTTGGAAAAAGAGGAAGAAACCATATTTGAGTGTGGGAGCCTTCAAGACAGATGAAATGGTCCCTGCAGAGATATCTGCGGGCCCACAGTGTCACACGGAAAATGTGGCCAGAAAATTAGCTTTGCAAAAATAGATGGGCTCCTTCGGAAATCCTGCAAGATGGGCATGCTAAGGAGCTCTCCTAGTTAGGGAGAGACCTTGGGTGTCCAGGTCTTTTATTTGACAGACATGAGTAAAAAAAAAAAAAAAAAAAAAAAAAAAAAAAAAAAAAGAGACAAGCAAAATCTGATGCACCACAGCCGGATAGATGAAAAAGGGTCCTTGCAGGGATGGGCTGCAGTGTGTCTAGTTAAGGCCACGCACACAGTCAGAGATGCTGATGGCACCCAGCTCAGAAAGGGCGTCTGGGGTGGGCTGAGCTGGAGTGGGGAGGAGGCGGGGAAGACAGAGAGAGGAGCGCGGGTTTCCAGCCTGGGCAGCTGCCCTGTGGTGGGCACATCGTCTGTGAAGGAAAGCCTTTTGGCTGAAGCTGAGAGAAGACGAGCTGAGTGATTAAGACGCAGAGTGGGAGGGGCCAAGGCGGTGCTCTGCCCCCTGGGAACAAAACAAGTCTGGGAGGAAGTGGGACGTCAGAGTGGACACCGGGTCATTTCTGTTAACTGCTGGAGCTCTCCAGACCCTGTCCCTTTGCTGCCTACTCACACTGCCTCAAACACTCTTTTCTTGGCAATTCTTTCTTCTTCTTCTTTTTCTTTCTTTTTTTTTTTTTTGGTTTTTGAGACAAGGTCTCACCATGTAGTTGAGGCTGACCTGGAACTCACTATGTAGCCCAGGCTGGTCTCGAACTCACAGAGATCCTCCTGCCTCAGCTGCCCAAGTGCTGGGATTACAGGCATACGCCACCACACTGGTCTCTCTTTTTTTAAAAAAATTCATTCATTGTATTGTCGCATCTTAGGCATAGAGTATGATGACAGTTGTACCTTCACATGATGTATCTTGGTTCTTATTCTTTTCCCCAGTTCCCTGCCCTCCCTTTACCCCCTCCACCGTTCCCTATTTACAAAGACTTTGTTTCCATTCTTTTCATTTTCTCATATTCCATTCCCTTTCCTTTCTCCTCCTCCTCCTTCCCCTTTGCACTTTTTCTTCCTACTTCACATTATCTATTATACTTTTTAGTCCTTATTTACACTTTCAATTTCTCACACCAGAGAAACTATTTGGTATGTACACATGCATGACCTATTTATTTCATCTAAGAGAATGGCCTCAATGTGCATTCATTGAGCTATAAATATCTCTAGTTTTTCATTCTTTATGGCTGAGTAGTACTCCATTTTATTTAAAAAACACTACAAAGCTACTATGATAAAAACATGATGATACTGGCAAAGAAACAGACCTGAGGATCAGTGGAACAGATTAGAAGATGCAGAAACAACTCCAGGCATACTTAGCCACCTCATCTTGGACAAAGGAGCCAGCCACTCTCACTGGAGAAAAGACAGCTTCTTTCACAAATGGTGCTGGAAAATTGCGGTTTCAACTTGCCAACGATTAAAACGAGACCTATGTCTCTCACCACACACTACACTAAAATCAAAATGGATCAAAGATCTAAATATGCAAACAGAGCTGGGGATTTAGCCCAGTGGTTCTGCTGCCTGCCTCGCAAGCACAAGGACCTGAGTTCGATCCCCGGTACCAAAAAATAAAATAAAATAAAATAAATAATAATATGCGAACAGAAACACTAAACTGGCTGGAAGAGAGGTTAGGCAGAACTCTTGAAGACATTGGCATAGGAAAAGATTTCATAAACAAAAAGCCTCAGTTGCATGTGAACTAGCACAAAGAATCAACAGCTGGAATCTTATCTTATTAAAAAGCTTCTGCACAGCAAGAGAAACCACCAAAGTGTGAAGAGAACCACCAAAGTGTGAACCACCTTGTGGGGAAAAAAATTTTACCACCTGTTCCTCAGACAAAGGTCTACTATCTAGAATATATAAAGAATTAGGGCCGGGGATTTAGCTCAGTGGTTCTGCCACCTGTCTCACAAGCGCAAGGGCCCAAGTTTGTTCTGGTACCAAAAAAAAAAAAAAGTTTACAATAGAATATATAAAGAATTAAAAAAAAATCAGACCACCCAAATTTAATGACCCAATTCAAAAAAAACGGGCATCTGAAATGAACAAGCATTTCCCAGACAAAGAAGTAGAAATTGCAAATAAACATATGAAAAGATGTTCAACATCACTGGTCATTCGAGAGATGCAAATGAAAACAACCCTGAGATTCCACCTCATAAGAGTGGAAGCTATCAAGGAATCAACCAATAGCAAATGCTGGTGGGCTGTGGGGAAAGAGGAAGCCTGCTCCACTGCTGGTGGGAGTGCAGACTGGGGCAGCCACTGTGGAAATCAGTATGGAGAAACCTCAGAGAACCAGGATTAGAGATTCCATTTGACCCAGCTATTCCCCTGCTAGGTATCTTTCCCAAAGAATTAAAAGAATCACACCACAGTGATATATGTACATCCATGTTCATAGCAGCACAATTCGCAATTGCTAAAACTTGGAAGCGGCCCAATTGCCCATCAATGGGAGACTGGATAAAGAAATGTGGGAATTCTTTATTTTTTTATTTTTGTGGGTACCAGGGTTGGGACCTTGCACTTGCAAGGCAGGTGGCAGAACCACTGAGCTAAATCCCCAGCTGGCAATTCTTTCTTGAGAAGGATTCGTATTATCGATTTGGGTGTTGCCCTGTGAACTTTCTCTGTGATAACTTAAAAAAGAAAGAGGAAAACATTTAAAAAGTGCACTGAAGACTTTTCAGCCTAAAACAATTATATTAAGTTACTTTGGTTTTTAAAAATTAACATTCATTACTTTCAAATTCAAAATCTTAACTTTGTACATTAAATATAATCATTTTACTGTTCTATTTATAAATGTAACAAATTGATATCAAATTGAATGTATAAATTACATTTATACATTTAATAATTTGGCTATTTTTTCAAATATGTCAGTTTTGTTTTTTTCTTTTTTTTTCTTAGACAGGTTCTCACTATGTAGCCCAGGCTGGCCTCCAACTCTTGGTACTCTTCCTGCCTCAGCCTCCCAAGTGCTGAAATTACAGGTATGTGCCACCATGCCTGGCTAAACACATCAATTTTCTGATTATCAAACCTTCCAAAATTCTTAAGTAATTCTCATTAAACTAATAAATTAGGCCATAGCCAGGCATGGTGGCGCACGCCTGTAATCCCAGCACTCGGGAGGCTGAGGCAGGAGGATCACTGAGTTTGAGACCAGCCTGGGCTACATAGTGAGCTCTAGGTCAGTCTCAACTACATAGTGAGACCCTGCCTCAAAAAACAAAAAACAAAAAAATAAATGAAGCCAGTACACATGATGAGTTGTGATTTCTCTTAGAAGTTCTAAAATAGAACATAATTGAAAATAGAAGTCTATAAAATCAGCATTTCAAGGTTAATTTTAGATGCTTTATTAAACATTAAAAGTGCTTGGGGCACAGGGGCTCACACCTCTGATCCCAGAACTTGACAGGCTGAGGTAGGAGGATTGCTGTGAGTTCACGGCCAGCTTAGGCTATATAGTGAGTTCAAGGCGAGTCTGTCCCACACCTCTCCCAGGATCCCAGCACACCCAGGAAGCTTCTGGAGGCCCTGACCCCCAACAAGAGCTTTAGTTGATGACCCTTAGCAACCTGAATGTCTTTGCTACTGCATGACCTCATACTGAAGAGAAAAAAATATATTAAGATTAAAACCAGTCATCTTTTTCTTCTTAGGAGAAAGAACTGTCTTTAGCTGAAGAACTGCCATAAGATCTTTCTTGAACCACGAAGACTGTTAAAAAGCAGTTGTGAGGGGAAGACAGGCAAAGGTTAGGGTCAAATGGTTGATGTAATGAAGAGTACGTTGCGAGCTCCAGAGGACAGTCAGAGGGAAGCCAACGGTGGTGGGACGCACGCTCTGAGGAGAAGGGAGGCAGGCGGTGGCAGGAGCGGCAGCTGTTCCTGACGGTTTGCAGCCTGCCCCTCCCTAGTTTGGGCGTGCGGTGCTGCGGTCGGTCAGAGCTCGGAAAGACTTGTGGTAGAAGAGTATTTGTGAGCACATCCCAGCTGGCCGTGAGGACATTAACTGTAATGGCGTTGGCGGACTGAATGGAAGCATTGGGCAAGAAGAGACCGGCGAGCTGGAGGCTCCACGACAGTGAGCGGCAGGACGACTAGCAGAAGGAATGAAGTCAGAAAGTGGGGGAGGACGGTCAGAAAGGAGAGGACGTGGGGTAACCATGTGGAAAGTAGCATGGCCAGACCGTAGGGACCTCGGCATCTGGGCGAGCTGGGGCTATTTTACTAGGGGTCCTACTCATCCCGAGGGTTCACTGAAATGCAGATAGTCACTGAATTTCCGTTGGAGTAGGTCGGGTGCGGGCCTGAGACCACACCGGTCCGAGAAGACCTCAGAGATACTAAAGCCACAGGCCCCGGGGTGGTGGTCTGCGGCTTAGGCCAGGGTGCGAGAGCGCAGGCGCAGAGCAGCTCTGTCCCCAGCCTCCTTTCTGCTTCTCAGAGCCTCAGCACCATTTGACAACCCCAAAATGGTTTAACTGCAGCTTTTGACCATTGCCCTGGGGCGAGGATTTTTTTTTTTTTTTTTTTTGGTGCTGGGACTCGAACCCAGGCCTCTGCACCCTCAGCCCCAACATTCACCTTTTAAACTATGAAATTCACACTCAGAGGATCAAAGCATGAGGCAAAAGGGCTGGCTTCCTAACAGCTCCTTTCACAAAGGCAGGGGAGGATTTCTGAGCTGGAAGCACAAAGGGCAGGGGTGGGGCTGGGAGACGCTGGGTATTTAGGCTGGAGCTGGCTGGAGAGGAGGAGTAGTGAAGAAGACTTCTGTTACTGAGTCTCCACTGGGAAGCCTTTTCCTGGCGTGGAGGTAGGGTAGAGGCATCAAACTTTTCTGAGTCCGAGTCCACCAGCTGTTTGATTATCTGGTGTCGGTCGCTGGGTTTTACACCCGCTTCCATGGGTCGGCCTGCTTGCGGGGAGAGAATGCACTGGTCTCTCAAATTCTAGGAAAGCTACAGTTCTTTTCGAGATGAATGTGTCCTCGTTGTCACTTTTATCTTTTCAAGAAATGAATGAATTTGAGTTTGCCACTAAGAAATGGATTTGTTCTCAGGATGGTAATGAAGTCAGGTTGCAGAGTCTGCCGGGGTGACTCCCAGACCCTGGCCTGGTACATTCTCAAGGAAATATTTTAGAAGACCGATTGGGTCATCTTCCTGGTTATTTCCTGGGATGTATTCACCCGGTAGTATGTCAGGCAGCCAGGACCCACCCTCGGGGCTCAGAAGCTTATGGAGATAACATCTGAATTACATCCTAAAGGTTGAGTAAGAGTTTACAGGGCATTCCCAGCAGAATCCAGGTCTATAGGAGAGAATTAGCTAGAGCTGCTGAATTGAATACAACTGGGGTGTAGGGAAAGCAGGGCTCAGTAGGGGTCAGGTGATAGAGAGCCAAGAGTCTCCCGAGCAACATAGTAGAGCCTTTCACCTTTTTTTTTTTAGAAAGAGAGGAGCTCACTGAGCAGTTCAGGCTGACCTCAAACTCAGAGGATCCTCCTGCCTCACCCTCCAGTGTGCTGGGATTACAAGTGTGTGCCACTATGCCCTCTTCACATTTTGTTTTTATCTTCACATTTTTCAAGCAGAAGAATTTAAGCTTGGATTTATCATTCTAGCTCCAGAGTAGAATGCGGTTTTAAGAAGGAACAGTTGGGGGAAGTTGAGAGGGCGTCAAGCAAATCCAAGATGGTGTGTTCTGAGCTGTTGTAATGAAAGAGAAGCATTTAGGAGGTGAATGCCAGCAGGATTTAACATTTGGAAGCTGCCTGTTAGAAGGAATCCTGTTATCAGGAAGATAGACATCGGAGATGTCCAGATTTTGGCTTGGATTTCCTTGAACTCAGGGTGACGCGTCTCCCAGGGTTTGTGTTGCAGATGTGGGGGTGGAGTGAGGTTAGTTCTGCAAGTATTAATGTTTTGTCATCTCTGGGTTCTGCAGGTAGAAGGGTCCCACATTCAGTGACATGTAGTTCCTGGCTGCTCAGAGAGAAAATCAGTGCCAGATGTGAAGAGTTTTTCATTATCCAGGCAGAACATTAGTTAAAAATCTGAGATTGAGGCCCACGAGGTGGAGCACGCCTGTAATCCTAGCACTCAGGAGGCTGAGGCAGGAGGATTGTCATAAATTGGAAGCCAGACTGAATAACATAGCAAGACGCTGTCTCAAAAATAAATAAGTAAATAAATAAATAGGAAGAATGAAGAGGAATTAGGTCCCTTCCCTTTGTCATTGGTGGGGCCTTTCCACTTAGCTCCAGGCCTCGCCAGGGTATAGAGGTTTGCATACTTACTACCAAAGGGGAAGCCAGTCTTTTGTTGTTGTTTTGTTTTTTCAAACAGCATCTTTCTATGTAGTCCAGACTTGCCTTAAACTCGCTATGGATCCCAGCCTGGCATCAAATGTGCAGAAATCCTCCTGCCTCAGCCTTCCAAGTGCTGAAATTACAGGCATATGCCACCACACCTGGATGAATATGCTAGTCTCTTGAAGGGGAGGAAAGCCACTCAGCCATGTAGAGCCAGTCCTGGAATCTTTGGTCCAGCCTGAGGGCTCTGACCCTTCCCTTGAGCTTTTTGCTACATTTGCTTATTAAGCTTTCATAGTTTCAAAAAACCTTGTCAAAAGAGAAAATGGAAGAGTGGCAGATAACAGAATGTACAAGAGTCACCGAAATCTTGTTGGTTTGCTTTTCTGCTCTTTGTTTGCTCATGGTTGTTGGTGGGTGAGGTGGTGGGGTTTCTGCTGTTTTCTTGGTGTGCATTGCTAGCCATGTGACCAAGGCCCTACTCGTGCTAGGCAGGTGCTGTACCCCCGTCCCACTGTTTGAAGCCTGGAAGACTTGAACAAGGCCATGAGACAAGAGCCAAGGAACAGAGATTCAAGATGTAGGAGAGAAGAGGTCAGTAATGGGAGCAGGTCCTAGAAAGGACGGTGAGGGACACGAGGGAGGTCACCAGCCGTCCCCAACAGGAAGACAGACTCCTCCTTGGAGACTGGCAGAGAGGCCCATGCAGCATGGGGTCAGATGGAGCCAGTCACAAAAGACACTCCTGGGGGAGACATCTGAATTCTCAGTGTTTTCAGTCACTTAACAAAATCCTGAGCCATTCAGATGTATTACATTTAATCCTTACAACAACCCTACAAGGTAGGAGCTGTTGGGACTTCACAGGAGTGGAAAGCGCGAGCAGAGAGTTACCATGCGTCCTCTGTCGCGTGGCTTTGGGAAGCAGCCCTGCTCCGCCAGTTCTTGGATAAGCCCAGTCGCATCATGCTGGCCTGGATGAAAGGAGCCGGAGTCCGGTCTGTCAAGGAAAGGCCATGGGGGCGGTCCTAGGGCCAATAATCTTTCTATTTCTGAAATCGCCACAGGGCTGTTATCCCTTTGAACATCGAGCTTGACTTGGATTCCAGATTTTCTAGTTCATCCAGAAGCCTCTCCAATTGCAGCCAACAGCTCAGGGCCTGACAGAACTTCATATCTAAAGCCCTGAATTTACTGTGAGGTCTATCTGTGCATTTCCTCATAAAATCTAGTCTAAGCAAGGAACCCTGCGAAGTCAAGACCCCTGCGGCCATATCTGATCACCCTGTCAAGTTCGTCATCTTCTACTATCACCTCTTGGCCTGTCTCAGCAAGAACCCTGTAAGGTCCATTTAGCCAGAATCCCCTACACCCCATTCTTCCTCATAGTAATTTTCCCACCCATGGATTCCCCAAGTCACTCCTCAGCTACAAATACTCACTTGTTCATGTTGTATTCCCCACCCCACGCCCGCCATACTGGGAATGAAATTCAGAACCTTGCACTTGCGAGGCAGACGCAGTGCCACTGAGCTAAATCCCCCTCCCTCCACATTGTATTTAGAATTGAGCCCAATTCCCTCTCTCACCCTAAGACCCTGCAGTGGTCCCCAAACCTATCTTTGCGGTCCCAAATAAAGTCTGCCTTACCATGCATTATCAAGTATTAGTGAATGATTTTTCCTTAACAGGCCTCAATGGATCAGGCAATCACCTGGTAAGAGTTTGAATTGACCCTTGGTTTAAGAACATCGTGTGGGGCTGGGGATTTAGCTCAGAGGTTCCACTGCCTGCTTTGTAAGCACAAGGTCTTGAGTTCGATCCCTGGTACCAAAAAATAAAAAAATTTAAAAAATTATCTGTTTTTTTTTCTACTTTCATTAAAGGCTAGGATGAAGGAATGTGAAAATTTGTAGTGGTGAAGCTCCTTAACCTGTAACCGTGACTCAGTCCCATGAAACTATAATAGTAGTTGCTTCTAGGGGATTGTCCAGGGCACAATGGCCTAAGTACAGATGTGTTTTATTAAATACATTGACAGTGGACTCTCGAGTTATGACCGACCTGATATTCAAACAACTTGGATTTTGACTGGAATTTTAGTTTTAACTTACAAACCAGTCTTCAGTTAGGAACAAAATGCCAGCCGCTGGTGCTTCCAGATGGTCTCAGATACAGATCTAACCCTTAAAGAAGTCTCAAAGGAACATCACAACATCCTTTCCTGTGTGAGGTTAAATGAGAAATCCTGGGCCAGCGTCTCTCTAAGGACACTGAGATCTGCCTGTGTACAGGAGAGAGACTCTGAAGGCTGGGCAGCGGAGCAGGGGCCTTCACTAACCGGCTTCAATTACAACCAGCCCTGCCGAATGAATTGGGTTTGTAAGTCAAGGGTGCACTATACTTGGTAGATGCAAAGCCCGCAGGCAACTCTAGTGACACAGAGGACTTGGCCCACCAGGCCCCTCCTTCAGTGTAACCCTAGTAGGGAGACAGACTGCTCGCTGAAGAGGGCAGAGTTCTGCATTGGCGTGTGGAAGCCTCTGTGATACACTTCGCCCACACCTCTCTCCCCATTAGGTCAGCCTTTCCCAGAAGCAGTGGGAAAGGCAGCAAAATCAAAGCTTTCTCCTCAGAGCCCTGCCTGTTCCAGGGATTCCTGCTGGAAGGAGAAAAGTGGGTTCCTGGGGTCTGTCTGTGGTTGCTGTGGGAGCTGCCTCCTGAAGCTGGGCTAGAGAGTGAGTGACAGGTGACTTCGTCCATCAGACAGCTTTCCTCCCTGGAAGACTTGTCCCCTCGGGCCACTACCTGGAGGCAGCCCTGTAGGCCCCTGCTGTTTGCCTGCCTGATGGTTTTGCAAAGCAAAAAGAAAACACGTGAAGCTCGGGAATGACCCGCAAGTGCATTTAGTCACCCAAATCTTCCTGGGATAGCCGCAGGTGGCTGTCACCCGAGGTGACACCCTTCTGGGGTCCTGAGGCCAGGGTCTCGTGAGCTTAGCACCTAGGGCTGATTATCAAGTGCTTGCCAGCCACCATAGCCTGCGAGTCCTCTCCCTGTCCTCAGGCCTGGCCTGGACTTTGGGAATGGCTCTGCCCTGGGCCTGCTCTCTTACCTCTGCCGCATTTGTCTCCTGCCTACACCTGGCCCTGCCCTTCTGACTCAGCTCTAAGTCAGCCGTTCATGCTCCCCAGAACCTGGCCACTTCCCTGGACTGGACTTGGACTCCAGAGCTGCCCTTGGGATGGGATTCCTGCCAGGACCAGCACATTTGGCACAAGGTGGATGGGAAATATTCAAGAAACATACACTGCATTTGTATTCTGTATATAGGTTTTGTTCTTTCCGTCCCCTAAATAATACTGAATAACACCTATTTACATAGCATCTACATTGTATTATAAGTGATATTATAAGTGATCTAGAGATGACTTAAAGTACAGGAGAGGATCTGCAAATACTTCCTCGTTTTATGTGAGGACTTGAACATAGGTGAATTTTGGTATCCAAGTCCTAGCTCTGATTCCCCACAGATGCCAGAGGACAAACGTATAAAGTTAGGGTTAGTCCAAGCCAGTCACCCGGTGCACATCCTGGCTCTGTCCCCTACCAACTATACGAGTGTGACAAGTTGGAAACTTCCTGTGTACCTTGTATAAAAGGTGGATCGCAATAACACCACCCTGTCCTGTGGGATTTTTGCGTAGATACTTTGTCCACTCTGATGATTATCCCGTTTGTGCATAGGAGTGGATTCTTCTCTCTGTCCCTGCCTCCCCGTAGCACATCTGCAGTGCGTCCATGGGGATCTGTCCGTGTTTGTACCAGTACACCCTGCTTATACTGTAAACTACGAGGGGAGGTCCAGGACGATGTCATCATTTTCTGTGGTGTGTTTTGTAGTCCTACTTTGGTGAAGACAATGATGGACGTGTTGCTAAAACACAAAATGTAGAGCCTGGCCTTTAGCCAGTGCCTGTTCCAGGCCGAGCCCAGGCTGCACAGGCCCTTTCCGGGGCCTCTCTGCTAAGTAGCGCGCGGTCTCAGGATGTCTGGGCACCTGTTCTGCATTGATAAGCGCGAAGGAATGGTTTGATAAACACTCTGCTCTTAATTAAACTATTTTGTCCTGGTGTGGTTCCCACAAGCTTTTGCACAATTAATTGAAAAGTAGTCTTTGGCTAAGTGGATTTGTTTCTGTGTCCTGCACCTACTGTTTGATATCCTACACAAATTGATCTCTGCCGACTCAGGCAGACCTGGTGGTGATTCTGCCAATTTCTCAGGTACTCGTTGGAACCCAGTAGTCTCGGATGCCACTAGCTTGCACCGTGCACGACATTCTACAGGGTTTGCTCCTGTTATAAGCAATTTTGAGAAGACAGGAGTCAGAAAGACCAGGCACCAAGGGCTGGGGATTTAGCTCAGTGGTTCTGCCACCTGCCTTGCAAGCCCAAGGACCAGAGTTCGATCCCTGGTACCAAAAAACAAACAAACAAACAAACAAACAAACAAAAAAACCAGGCACCAAGAGAAGTGGGGGAGATGGATACTTAGGGGGCAGTGTAGCCAGGAGTAGGGCAATTGGTGAAAGAGCATGTGTGTCTCTGGGCTGATTGGGTCTTCAGCCTCTGCCCCAGCCCTGATCTACCCTTCCCGGAATGCCGTCTCAAGTGCACCACATGGGCCCCCAGACTCAGTGGCTCCTACTAGGGTGAGGCAGAGGGAGACCCCATGGGAGAGCAGAGGCTGGAAGGAGGGAATGCTGTGTTTGTACAAGCTCTAATATCGCATAGTTTCTCTTCCCAATTGTCCCTAGATTCTCCACGATGGACCGTGATGACTTTGTCCCTTTAGGTCACAGCTTTTATGGGGCAGCTCCAGCTCTTAATCCAGCTCTTCAATTTGCACTTCTTCTCCCCGTCTCTTCCCACTGCAGCCGATCCCCAGGTGCCTCGATATCCCATAGGACCCCTTGTTTGGTTTTCTGAACTCTGCCCACACAGAAAGTAGCCCTTTCACCATGAACCTTTTTGGGGCTGGGGTGAAGCTCAGTGTGTGAAGCACTTGCCTAGCACAGGTGGGCTCCGGGTTTCTCACAACTGAAATGAACACACTTCCCAGAAGTCCAAATGCAAATTCAAACAACACTGAGAGTCCACCTTACTCTGGAAAGAGTGGCCGTCATCAAGAAATCAGGCAGTAACAAATGCTGATGACGCTGTGGGGATAAAGGAATCCTCCTCCATTGTTGGTGAGAATGTAAATCAGTGCTGAGATTCCTCAGAAAACTAAAAATAGAAATACCATTCAACCCAGCTATTCCTCTTCTAGATATCTTCCCGAAACAGTTAGACACCACGCTACAGTGGCACATGCAGACCCATGTTTATAGCAGCACAGCTTATAATAGTTAAACCTTAGAATCGACCTTTAAGTTCAACAGATGCAAAACAAAACAAAAATGTGGCACTTAGACAAAACGGATGGGATGGAGTACGACCCTGCCATAAAAAGGACAAACGTGAATCATTTGCAGCAAAGTGGATGCAGCTTGAGACCATAACGTGAAGAGACATGAATCAGACCCACAAGCTCTAATATCGCATAGTTTCTCTTATACAAGGAAGGCAAAACATCAGCAATTGAAGAGAAAAATAAAAGATAGACAGTACAAATTAGGGAGCTGGGTCTTTTGCGAAAGGGAAGGGGCCCAAGAGGGAGGGAAAGGAAGAGGAGGGGAAAGAGATGTAAAAAGAACTGATGTGTCACGCACATGTGATTCCCCACAAGGAATGTAGTAATCATTATATGCTGCAAACATGCACCAATGAAAATAAAACTTAAAAACATAAAGCATCCTCATTCTAGAAAAACAATCTCTTTTTATCCCAGCTGACTGAGCCACCTGTCTCCCACCTTGCCTGAGGCTTTTAATAGCATGTAACGCAGACAGCACGTGTGGTGTGGAGCTGGGTGAGAGCAACACAGTTGGACTTGCTGGATTCTACAGTTTTGGGTTCTTCTCTCTCCTTCTCCCTATTTCCCTGTGTCTATGGATGTTACACTCTCCAAACAGGCCGGAAATGATGAGGCTGACATCCCTCTTGCTCATTTAGGGGACGTAGGTAAGCAAATGTCTTTTGCAAACCCAGTACCACCCGGAGAGAGGTTGTATTCGGTGCTGGCCTTGGGATTGATCGATTGACTATTGATGGAAAGACACAGCCTTTTCACTGGAATCATTATAATCATTTTCTTGTCTTAGAAAGAGTCTCGCTGTTGTTATTCTGGAGAGGCTTTGGTTTATTTTTAAACAGTAGATGAATCTGAGATTTTATAATCACCCGAGTCTGCCACAAGTAAACAGGCTTCAGCTGCATGAATACGACGTGCTGCAAAGTCGAAAGCGGATGGGTAATAATACTTTATATTTGTGCCGCAGAGTACACGTTTCCACACTCTGGCGCCCCAGTTGTCACACTTGTTCATTCCAGCAACTTGTCGAGACAGGCAGAGTTGATATTTTTATTTCTCTTCTATAGGCTTAGTCCATCCAACATCGATTGATCATCTGCTGCGTACCTGGGCCTCTGCTGGGCGCTGGTGACACCGAGAGGAAGATAATGAGGCTTCTGTCTCAATCCAGG